TCTCCATTCCATCTCTGAGACTATCTCCATCTCACCTCCATCTGCACTTCCACCTCTGCTCCACCTCTGAGACCATCTCCCTCTCCACTTCCACCCCAATCCCCACCCCAACTCCACCCCATCTCTAAGACCATCTCCACCTCCATCCCACCTCCAAGACTATCATCTCCATCTCACCTCCACTTCCACTCCACCTCCATCCCACCTCCAAGACTATCATCTCCACCTCCACCTCCATCCAATCACCAAGTCCATCTCGACCACCGTCTCCATTCCATCTCTGAGACTATCTTCACCTCCACTTCCTTCTCCCTCCACCTCATCTCCACTGGCCTCTGGTAGGACAATTACTCCCAAATTATGACCCAGGAGAAAAACTCCCAGGGAGAATCCGTTGGGCCTCTAGTGGTGAAGGCGCCAGGCTAGAAAGGCGGAGGTGATGTGTTTATGCCCTGCCTTAGCTGGCTGGGCAACTTGGAGCCAATCACCAGGAGTCGCTGAGTTCTAGTTCTGCCTTGGGCATGAAGGTTGGCCCTGCATCCGCTAGAACCCAGGGGTCTCCAACCTGGGCCGCTTTAAGACTCGTGGACTTCAACTCCCAGAATTCCCCAGCCAGCCAGGAATGATAGAGTTGGAAGAGACCAGAAGGGTCATCTAAGTCAGGGGTCTCCAACCTGGGCCACTTGAAGACTTGTGGACTTCAACTCCCAGAATTCCCCAGCCAGCCAGGAATGATAGAGTTGGAAGAGACCAGAAGGGTCATCTAAGTCAGGGGTCTCCAACCTGGGCCACTTTAAGACTTGTGGACTTCAACTCCCAGAATTCCCCAGCAAGCCAGGAATGATAGAGTTGGAAGAGACCAGAAGGGTCATCTAAGTCAGGGGTCTCCAACCTGGGCCACTTTAAGACTTGTGGACTTCAACTCCCAGAATCCCCCAGCCATAATTGCTTCCTGTTTCTCTCAATCATAACTGACTGGAGAATTCTGGGAGTTGAAGTCCACCAGTCTTAAAGTGGCTCAGGTCGGAGACCCCTGGTTTAGAAGCCTGGGGATTAAAACGGTTGCAGGAATTGGATTTGGCTAGTCTGGTGTGTGTGATATGATGGCAGTCTTGCAATATTTGAGGGGCTGCCCCAAAGAAGGAGGGGGGGGGTGTCAATTTATTCTCCAAAGCACCGGAAAGCAAGATAAGAAGCGATGGATGGAAACTAATCAAGGAGAGAAGCAACCTGGGATTAAGGAGGAATTTCCTGACATTAGAGCAATTAACCAGTGGAACTGCCTGCCACCAGAGGTTGTGGCTGCTCCATCGCTGGAGGTTTTTAAGAAGAGGCTGGACAGCCATTTTTTCTGAAATGGTAGAGGGTCCCCTGCCTGAGCAGGGGGGGTTGGACTAGATGACCTCTAAGGTCCCTTCCAGCTCTATTCTGATTGAAACCAGTGCACCCATGGTGTTAGGGCCACTTCCGGGCTTTGCTGGTGGGAGTTACAAACTTTATCCACTGGTCTCTTTTTAGAAATACCCGCCGCGGAAGGACATGGTCAGAGCCGTCTCCATCCAAACAGGCTACCTGATCCAGGGGAAAGGAGCCAAGAACTGCAGCCTCACCTACCTAGCTCAGGTAGACCCCAAAGGTAAGTTGGGCCCTCCCATCCTTCACCAAGGGAGTTACGCTACACCTGGTTGGGCAGAGGTGTATGGCTTTGGGCTCTGCTACCTTGGGAAGCTGGGCTGGCCAATGTTTACTTGTACAGGTAATCCTTGACTTAACAACCGTTCCATTTAGTGACCGTTTGAAGTCTCAACGGCCCAGGAAAAAGGGACTTACGACCATTTTTTCACACTTACGACCGTTGCTCTATCTCTGCAGTCCCGTGATCAAAATTCAGAAGCTTGGCAATGGCTTCACATTTACAACGGTCGCAGTGTCCCCGGTGGGGTCAACCAGGAGGCCAGTTTCACTTAACAACCATGTGACTCGCCTAACAAACGAAAGGATTTGCTTAACAACCATGGCAAGGAAAGTTGTAAAACGGGGCAAAACTCGCTTAAGGACCGTCTCGCTTGTCCGCAGAATTTTTGTGGTCCATCGTGGGTGTATGTTTCACTGCGTTAAATAAATTTGGGGCCTAACTCGAGGACTATCTGTATAGTGCAGAGCAGAGCCCAAAATTCCTGCCGCTAAGCAAGGCAATGGCCCAACAAGTTGGGCCCCGTTTTGCAACCTTTTTGTGCCACAGTTGTTGAGCGAATCAGTGCCATCGTTAAGCGGGTCGTGTCTTTAAGCAGATCTGCCTTCCTCCGTCGACTTTGCTTGCCGGAAGCTGGCTGGAATGGTTCCCAGTGGTCAACCACATGAACCCAGGACAGGGCAACGGTCATAAATATTAGGGAGTCCTCAATTTACGACCAAAACTCAGCCCAACATTTCCATGGTTAAGCAAGAAAGCTCTTAAGTGAGTTTCACCTCGGTTTACGGCCTTTTCTTGCCACTGTCATTAAGTGAACCATCGCAGCGGTTTAGTGAGTAACACTGTCATTAAGTGAATCCGGCTTCCTCATGGACTTTGGTTGTCAGAAGGTCACAAAACGGGGATCCCACGATCCCGGGGCGCTGAGATGTCATTAATATGAAACCAGTTGCCGACTGACTGAATTTTGATCCCATGGCCATTGGAGATACTGCAAGGGTGAAAATGGCCATAAGTCCGGGTTTTTTTCCAGTGCCGTCATAACTCCTTCCTTCCTTCCTTCCTTCCTTCCTTCCTTCCTTCCTTCCTTCCTTCCTTCCTTCCTTCCTTCCTTCCTTCCTTCCTTCTTCTTTCTTTCCTTCCTCCTCCCTTCCTCTTCCCTTCCTCCTTCCTTCTTTCTTTCCTTCCTTCTTCCTTCCTTGCTCCTTCCTTCCTCCTTCTTTTGTTCTTCTTTCTTTCCCTCCTTCTTTCTTTCCTTCTTTCCTTCCTTCTTTCCTTTCTTCCTTCCTTCCTTCCATTGTTAAGTGAATCACTGCAGTTACTAAGTTAGTAAGACGGTTGTTGAACGAATCCGGCTTCCCCCGTTGACTCCGCTCGTGAGAAGGTTGCAAAAAGGGATCACGCGACCTTGGGATGCTGTGACCGTCGTAACTACAAGTCAGTTGCTGAGCCTCTGAACTTGGGTCACATGACCACAGGGTGCTGCAACGGTCATAAATGCGAGCAATGGTCATAAGTCCCTTCTTTTCAGTGCCTTGGTTCGTTCACTGAACGAACTTGTAACTTCGTTGTAAGTTGAAGACTGCCCGTATGTCCCAAGCTGGGTTGGGGGGGGGTCTCCTTCTTGATTCGGACTCTTGAGTGGGTGTCTCAGGTGTTGCAAGGTGTGTGTGGGGGTGTAGGTGCACCTGCACACAATTCCCAGGCGTGTGGGGGGGCCCATTTTGCACATCGTTTGGAGCAGCCTGAGCGAGCCCTGGTGCCATGACCAATACTTCGATTTTCCTCCCTTGCAGGTTCTTTGCCAAAGTGGGTGGTGAATAAATCTTCTCAGTTCCTGGCTCCCAAGGTAAGATGGGATCATTTCCCACCCCCCCTTCTTTCTGCAGCTACCTGGCTCACCTGGGGTCACCCAGTGGCCAGGATTGGCTGGGAGGTTCCAGACCTGTTGCTGGGAATAGGTGGGCATATGTCTATGGAGCTTCTCCCCCCTCCAGGTCAGGGGTCTCCAACCTGGGCCCCTTTAAGACTTGTGGACTTCAACTCCCAGAATTCCTCAGCCAGCCAGGAATGGTAGAGTTGGAAGAGACCAGAAGGGTCATCTAAGTCAGGAGTCTCCAACCTGGGCCCCTTTAAGCCTGACGGACTTCAACTCCCAGAATTCCTCAGCCAGCCATGAATGATAGAGTTGGAAGAGACCGGAAGGGTCATCTAAGTCAGGGGTCTCCCACCTGGGCCCCTTTAAGACCTGTGGACTTCAACCCCCAGAATTCCTCAGCCAGCCAGGAATGATAGAGTTGGAAGGAAGCAGAAGGGTCATCTAAGTCAGGAGTCTCCAACCTGGGTCACTTTAAGACTTAAGGAAAAGGAAAGGAATCTTTAGTGGTTTCTGAGTTTGACTATTTTCTTTGCAGACCTTTCATGGCCCAACTAGGGAACATCATCAGTGAGGAGGGAGAGGGATTTACAGAGAGGAGGAGGAGAAAGGAAAGAGAAGGGAATGCGAAAGAGAAGGAGAGGAGGAGGAGGAAGAAGAGGAAAAGGAGAAGGAAAGGAGAACTGTGGGGTCCTTGGTGGTCTCTGAGCTGGGAGGTTTCTTTGCAGGCGTCTCATGACCCAACTCAATAACATCATCAGTGCTAGGAAGGAGTGGGTATGCAGAGAGGAGGAGGAGGAAGATTGTGGGGTCCTTGGTGCTCTCCGAGCTGGTTTTCTTGCAGACATTTTATGATCCAGCTAGGGAACATCATCAGTGCTAGAAGAGAGTGGGATTTGCAGGGAGAAAGAGGAGAAGGAGAAGAAAGGAAAGAGGAATGAGAAAGAGAAGGAGAGGAGGAAGAGGAGGAGGAGGAGGAGAAGGAAGGAGAAAGCAAAGGAGAAGGAAAGGAGAACTGTGGGGTCCTTGGTGCTCTCTGATCTGGGTGGTTTCTTTGCAGACCTTTCATGGCCCAACTAGGGAACATCATCCGTGCTAGGAGGGAGTGGGGTTTGTGGAGAGGAGGAGGGGAAGGAAAGGAGAGGGAGGGTGAGAAGGAGGACTGTGGGGTCCTCGGTGCTCTTTGGGCTTGCTGATTTTCTTCTAGACATTTCATGACCCAACTAGGGAACCTCATCACTGCTACCGAATGAGTGGTTTATATAGAGTAGCTTAGCCTAGCAGGGTTGCTTAAGAAAATGTTTAATACAGGGGGTGGGGGGAGGATTATTCTTGTTGGTTGATGGGATGAGATAGTGAGGTTAAGCTAGATTGGACTTCAGAGGTGATTTAAATTTTGTTTCTCCAACCTGGCATTTAAGCAATGCTTCAGATAGTAAATAGGTCTTGGCCAAAGCTACTTTTGTAGATTTACGAAAGTTTTATCGCTGCGTGATTCTTGGTCACTTGCTTCTTTAGGGGAATATTAGGGAGGTTGCTGCTGCTGTAAAAATATTTCAGAGGTTGGAGGCTGGGGATTAATCAATCAAGACTCCCGTAGTTATTGATTCCTTTTTATGGGAAGTTAAAAAGTGGAGTTGAAATGGGGATGAATTATTGATGCCACGCGTGGAAGACAGGACTTTGCATGTTCTCTGCTGGGGAACGGAGAGGAAAGGTTGCTTTGGTCTTAAAATGAAGTTGATGGAATTAAAAAAAGAAGAAGAAAAAGAAATATTTCAAAGATATGAGGCTCTTCGAAGAATGATTAATAAGTATTTGCTGGCAATCGCTTTGCTGTTAGGGATGCAGTTCAGAACTTGGACTGTAAACTTTGGATTTGGGGAGTAAAATTGACTGAAGGTAGCAAACGTGTTGATGGGTTCTTAAGGAAGATGGCCAAATTACTGGTACCCATTTTCTGTTCACCAAGTGAGTGAAGTTCTTAAGTGAATTTTGCCCCGTTTTACAACCTTGCTATGCCGCAGTTGAGTGACACGGTCGTTAAGCGAGTCCAGCTTCCCTCCATTGACTTTACTGGTCAGAAGGTCGCAAAAGCGGATCAAGTGACTCCTTGGGACACTCCGACTGTCGTAAATAGTTGCCGGAGGGGGCTCTCCATTTTTATCACGTGACCCTGGGGATATTGCAATGGTCATAAGTGTGAATCGTGCTCACACGTCGCTTTTTTCGGAGGCATTATAACTTCAAATGGTTCAAGTGGCTGTAAGTCAGGGACTACCTGTGATTGTTCTCAGGGTCAGGGAATTCCCCCTCAGTTCGAGGAGGTAGGATCTCTCCTTGATCCTTTCCCATCCGTTGCTTCTTTTCCCACCTTTGGACAAACTTCCTTGGTTTCGGTCAAGGAAAACCTGCCATGAAACGGCCTAGAAAAGGATATAAGGCTTTCCGAACTCACAAATGGGTTGCGTTTGTGGGTTGTGAGAAGTGTGTTTGCATCCAGGGAGAGGTTAGCAGAGGCACCTCTGGACTGATGTTCCTGGGTCAGCTCCGTTATTGATCAGGTTGCCCAAAGATGAATTTTTTTCCCCAAAAGGCAACTGGACTTTGGGGGGGTATTTTTCCTTAAAATGTTCCTTTTTTTTCATCCCACAAGCTTCTTGGGTTCTGGAAAGAGTGCAGAGAAGAGCAAGAAAGACAGTTAGATGCCTGGAGATTAAAATAGTACGACGAATGGTTGCAGTAACTGGGTTTGGCTAGTCTAGACAAAAGAAGGACTAGGGGAGGACATGATGGCAGCCTTCCAATATTTGAGGGGCTGCCCCAAAGAATAAGAGGGAGTCAAGCTATTCTCCAAACAGCACCTGAAGAGGCAGGAGAAGAAGCAATAAGGATGGAAACTGATCAAGGAGTAGAAGCAACCTGGAACTAAGGAGGAATTTCCTGACAGTTAAAACAATTAACCAGTGGAACTGCTTGCCACCAGAAATTGTGGGTGCTCCATCACTGGAGGTTTTAAAGAAGTTATTAGACAGTCACTTGTCTGAAATGGTATAGGGTCTCCCGCTTGAGCGGGGGTTGGGCTAGTAGACCTCCAAAGTCCCTCTATTCTGAACTGAATAGAATTGGGGTATCTAGTCTAGAGAAAAGAAGGACCAGGGGTGACATGATAACAGTGATCCAGCATTTGAGGGGCTGCCCCAAAGAATAAGAGGGGGTCAAGCTATTCTCCAAAGCCCCTGAAGAGGCAGGAGAAGAAGCAACGGATGGAAACTCATCAAGGAGAGAAGCAACCTGGAACTGAGGAGAAACTTTCGGACAGTTAAGACTATTTAACCAGTGGAACTGCTTGCCTCCAGAAGTTCTGGGTGCTCCATCACTGGTGGCTTTTTAAGAAGAGACTGGACAGCCAATGGACCCAAAGGCAAAGGGTCTTCTGTTTGGGGAGGCGGTTAGACTAGAAGACCTCCGAGGTCCCTCCCAAACTTTCCTGTTATTCTGTAGTTGTAGGATTCTGTTAATGCAACCTTACGATAAATGAGCGAAGTCTTAACCGGCTCTTGGCCTGAGCAGCGGGTTGGACTAGAAGACCTCCGAGGTCCTTTCCAACCCCGTGATTCTGTATTCCGATCCTGTCCCCTTTCTCCTCCCTCGATGAATGTCCCTCCCGGTTGCTGAGAGATGGCACAGGGGGAAAAAAACAGCCTCCGCTCACAATGGCTGCGGGAAAACAACCCCGTCAGCAAATGCAACCCAACCTCCCGCTAATGAAAAGAGAGAGAGAGAGAGAGAAAGAGAGAGTGGAAAGAAAAAGAACCTGCAGGAGAAGCGGACAAAGAATGAGTGAGGCGGCCTTTGTGGTCGTCTTGAAGCGTATCGGCTTTCCAGAGATGGAAAAAGGTCTTAGGTTTCCAGGGTGGCTTTGTGTTCCCCGACAAAGGGGTGGTTGGGTTTGTCTCCCGTGACAAAAGAAGCTCTTGAGGTTTAGCAATCAGCTTTGCAAATGAGCTTTGCCCA